GCGGCGATTATTTAAATCGCCGCTTCATTTTACTCTGTCGGGTAGCCTAATCTACATGCCTCTGTCGCCAGAGGCATGTAGTCTAGACGTACCCTAAGTGTAGACCAAATTGTATCCTGCTCTGAGCTACACTTTTGTAAATCCAACATTAATCTGTTGACAGAACAGAATTTGGCCTTATGTCTGCATTGTTATTGGCCAGCTCAGCAATTTGCAAACTTGGTGAACTTTCTGTAAACATGTGGTTTAGAAGCACACTGTTTAAAGAGATACTGACAAGTGGCTTGGGTCCAAACACCAAACTTGCAATAAAAAGGGAAATTAAAAATAACAAATAGCATGTTGAAAGCACTCAGTAAATATTAACTAAGCCTCAGACAAGCCTGTGAAGTAAAGCAGTGTTAATCTCTCTATTTTACATTTGGGGAAACTGAGGCACAGAGTAAAGCTGAGGAAGCAGGGGCAAAGCTCTGACTTCCCAACTCCACACCCCAGGTTCATGACACTCAACCTTACAATGTCTCAAAAATATAATTAAACTGATAACGTTTTTTTTTTAACTAAATAGTTCCATGCAGGACTAGACACCTAAATGCAACAGCTTTGTGATTGTATGTGAGACCCAGAAAACAAATCCAGTCGGTCAAGATTCACTACCCAGCCTATGTGAAGTGCAATTAATCCCCCAGCACTAATGGTGAAAACAGTATCAAATTCTTTCCATTATTTGGGGATCATTAACAATTCGGGGAAAGATGTTTTGGAGGCAAGTTATTTTAACCTAAATCTGCAAGTGGCTAGTGATTTTTGGTGCTGATTTGATTGTGGGAGCAAGGGGTGGATGCCGAAAGGGAGGGAATTAGTGGTTGGGTGGGGTTTTTTTAAGAGCTGAGCCACTTGCCTTCTGAAAATTGGGACCTTTTAAAGGGCCTCAGGTTAGACACCCAAAAAGAATACAGGTGGTAAACTCTCTGCATGGGAAGAATGGATCAGCTTCATGTCCCACTGCCCAGCCCGGCCCAAGGAAGCTAATGATCCAGCCAACAGACCCATTTCAATAAAGAAACCTGGGCAAGAAGCAGCTCTCTGCACTTATCTGTTGAATGGGGATAACAACTCCGTGTTCACAGAGGCTGTGTCTAGACTAGCCAGTTTTTCTGGAAAATCAGCCACTTTTCCGGAAAAACTTGCCAGCTGTCTACACTGGCCACTTGAATTTCCGCAAAAGCACTGACTTCCTACTGTAAGAAATCAGTGCTTTTCGCGGAAATACTATGCTGCTCCCGTTCAGGCAAAAGTCCCTTTTGCGCAATACTTTTGCGTAAAAGGGCCAGTGTAGACAGCTCAGATTTGTCTTCCGCAAAAAAGCCCCGATTGCGAAAATGGCGATCGGGGCTTCTTTGCGCAAAAGCGCGTCTAGATTGGCCACGGACACTTTTCCGCAAAAAGTGCTTTTGCGGAAAAGTGTCCGTGCCAATCTAGACACTCTTTTTCGCAAATGCTCTTAATGGAAAACTTTTCCGTTAAAAGCACTTGTGGAAAATCATGCCAGTCTAGACGTAGCCAGAGAGTGCCGTGAGGCAGAAAAAAAATTGAAGCTTGTGAGGGACTCAGATAACACAGTGAATGGGGGCCACATACCTACCGAAAAGAGCTAGTGGGATTTGGGAGATAAGCCCTGTTCAGATTCTACAGCCATGGAGAGAGATTTATAACGATTGTGTGCCAACAAGAATGGACCTTGTATGCTATATTTCTTTGAGCACAGATTTTCCCTCTACATTCATGATGTGCTAAGGGCTGTTTCCTTCAAGGTGTGGAGTTGAGCTGCTCAAACTCTTCATGCAGACCTTTTATTTCCTGGACTCTTTCTCACAAATCATCTGAACAGCTCACAAGTTTTTAACACGTTTATTTGTTATTTGAAATTGTCCAACATACTTTTTACAAACAAATGTTAGCCTCTAGTTCATGGGCAGTGGGTGAAGGTAGGATTGAGGGGGGCAAGCCCTCAGCCCCACCCTTTCTGCCCAGGAACCTCCCCCCTCCCCCCCCAGCACCATGGGAAGGTGGGGCAAAGTAGTTTTTTAATCCACAAGATTAAAAAATAATGCAAGCTGATACAGTGAGGCTAAAGAATTCTGTGGGAATGCGCCACCAGGGATACTCTTCACTACAGGCCCCTTGAGGAGGCAGTAAGCAATCCAGTGAGGCTCAATTTATCGCGTCTAGTATAGACATGATAGATCAACTGCCAATCACTTTCTTGTCAACTCCAGTACTCCACCAGAATGAGAAGAGTAAGGGGAATAGTTGATGGGGTTTTTTCTGTCAACCCATTGTGGTGTGGACCCTGGGTAAATAGATTTAAGCTACATCAATTTGAGTAATGTTAGAAAACTCAAAGTTAGTAAAATTTGAGTTTTCTAACTTTACTCAAATTGTGTTGCATAGACTGACTTGTCCCCGCAATGTAGACCTGCCCTTAGATGCAATCAATGCGAACAGCTATATGTTCTCTTCCTCCATACTCCACATGGTCCTGTGGCAATGCAGCAGCTCCTACGTCAAGTTGCTCTCCCACTGCTGGTGCCATGGAGAGAAGAGGAAAAGTTAACTTCTCTCAGAACTCCTCCCCACAAGTTAGACCAGGTGCAGGAATCAAGTAGAGGTGAGAGTGCCAAAATCCCTTCAAGTTCTACCCCAAATCCCATTCTCTGCTCACTCTGCCACATGAATTGGCTGTTTCTGCTAAAATTCACCATTCGGTTTCAGAGTGATCACTCCATTAAAATGAATCAATCAGTTCACATCCTTCTGAGAAATTGTGTTAAAATTCTGTCTATAAATTCAGGCTCGGGAAAACAGTACTTTCAGGGTCAGATCTGGAAGGTTTTCTTTGCAGTCCCCCAGATTGGAAACTTGTCTTGATGTTTAGATGAAAGCTTACATTCTGCAGAGAATGAAGGAACAACCCATTAATTTTTTATATAGTAACCCATGGCATATCAGCTCTATCTAGTCCTTGACTGTTCATGTGTATTACTTGGATAATTAAAGAGACAGCCAGAGGAGAAGAAGCAATGAGGAACATTAACAAAAAAAAGCCATTTTATTGAAAATGAAATTCAAACTTCAAATTAATATTACAACCATGAGAAAATGCCAAACAATTCAATTTACAGTTGCAACATACAATACAAATAGTCCCTTTGAACTTAAAGTAAACTCATCCCACAATCACTGTCTGTGGCACAAAGCAGAATGTGTTTGTACAATATGTGCATGAAAAGCAAACCATGGGCAACCGCATTTGAAAAAATAAAACAATTAAAGCTTGTATTTACAAGAAATGCTACAAATGTTTTGTTCCAGCAGAAATTCAAGACTGGTAAAACATAATTATCAACAACAACAAAAAGGAATGTCACTTGTATTACCTAAAACAAAGTTACTGTAAAAGTATGGTTTTGGCTGATATACTTAAAAGTATTGCATTTCTCTTAAAAAGCAAAGAGTACCTGTAAACCTGGAAGTAAACAAACATCTAAAAAAGTTCTCAGAAAATGTTAAAATGAAATGCATCATATTAAAAAACAGTAAGAAATTCAGGGGTTCAGAGAATCGGGCTTCTTTGATCTTGTACTCATAGCTGATGTAGGTTACAATTATTGCTTTAGTTCATGGCTTATTGTCGGTCTGAATCCTGGCACATCATGTCACCTGGATTCCATGGCAGGCTCCAGTAATCAAGACAGAGCCGTATTCCAATAAGTATGACAGTGCAAAAGTTTCCCCACTCAAAATGGCATCTTTGAGACCACTAAATCTTTGCTTGGGAGGCTGCTGTCAGGAAGTTCAAGACTAAGAAGTACACAGCAGCTGATCTGGTAAAATAATCTATAAATGTCACATTTTAGATCAAATCCAGCTTCAACACATGTGGTCCCATTGACTTCAGTAGGCCTACTTACATGGGTATGAACAGCTGGATTTATCGCTCTGTTTTGCATAAAGGACATCACACCTGTTCTGATGTAAGTACATCTTTGGTAAAATCTGAGAGAGCTGGAGATTAATAAAGACAATTCTTTCTTTTAAAATCCATGAACTGCACTCACCCTTCTACTCCTCGAGGAAAAGGACTCTTGTGCCACTGAGGAAATAATCCTCAGAATAATCATAATGTAAAGGACATTCTATGATTAACTCCATAACGCATAGTTACCTGAAATCCTGAACCAACATTTCCAAATGCACCTGGAAGCATTTTCCAGAAGCTCAGACATGCAATTGTCCACTGATGTGTTTGTGCAGTTACTCCTAATCACCAATACAAATATAGGAGATTTCTTAAAAATGCCAAAGGGATTTAGGTGCACATGTCCATTTAAAGTCAAAGGGACTTGTGCGCCTAAATCCTTGGGTGCTTTTGAAATCTCCTTCTTGGTATTTGTCTGCTTACATGAGCAGAATTTGCCATTTGCCTGTGTGATTCTGGCAGCTGAGACTATATCTACACAAACTATGGCATCAAACCCCCTTCTGCAAAGCCTGGTCAACGGACTCTGGGTCGGGGGTGGGTGCTTGTGACATTTGTGCTTAAAGCCTAAAAAGGGGGGTGAACTTTAGAGCCCAACTGCAATGTGTAGGCATCTATTTTTAGTATGAGTACCCTAATCCCAAGTCTGTAGACCTGGGCTGGAAGGTGGGCTGTGTCTATACAGCCTGCCACAGCATAAGTGCACAAATTCAGCATGCATTTTGTATTGCATAATTGCATGCTTAAGTACTGAGCAAAACAGAAATCAGGTCTATGGTAGATTTATCCAGAAATGAAATGAAGTGCTTGAATTGTTCTACAAAATCTTTAAGGGGAAAAAAAATTCGGGGTTGCTGCCTGCAGCCACTCTAACAACATTTCAACACAAAAGCATCCTTAAAAATTACTTAATATGCATACAGTAAATCTTAAAAAAGCCCTTCTCAGCAATAACAAATAATGTACAAATATAGTACCTTTTATTAAATAGGAAACAGCTTGCACTGGCAGTACATTTTTTTTCTTTTGCTTACTAAACAAAACACAAAACTGAAATGTGTAACCAGACACTGGCTTTTTAAGTGCTGCTGAAATTCGCAAACGTATTTTATAGTTACAAATAAATGGACAGTGGCATGCTTCAAGCTACCACAAACAAACAATAAATAGAATCAATTACAGCTTCCATCTTTGAAGGAAAAACTAAGTATTAGAAAAGTTACTTATTTAAGCATACTTAGTATACAACCTTTAGAAGGCAAAGACTTTTTGTTTTTTAAGAGCAAGTAATCACACCAAATTGTGAGGAATGTACCATGATGATGTTAAATCCCTGTAAGTTGACTGGCTAAGTCATTAACTGAGGATGACAATGTGTGTATTGTACAAATAAATTATTATACTGGAGGACCATCGTTGATTTAGTATGAGGGTTACATCCTCATTTTCAACAGAATTTCAGCCCAAGGAGGATACTGTTTACTGGACGCAATTAAGGCTAGTTGGACCAACAGAGAGCACTGCATGCTGGGAGTATAGAACCAAACAGGCTGCACTTATTAAACACCAGGGTGGCTGCAACCTGATCCACTCTATGGCCATGATTCAGCAAAACACTTAAGTACATGCTTAACTTTAGGCGCATGCCTCATTTCCATTGTCTTCAGTGGGACTTGAGCACATGATGAAGTGTTCTGCTAAATATGGATGGATTGCTGAATCAGAGAGGAATATATACAGTAGGAGACTGAACCCAAAGCCCATTGAAATCAACAGAAAGATTGCCACTAACTTACAAGGGCTTTGGGTCAGGATCCGACTCCTGAGAACTTACCAATGCAGCCCTTGATTGGCAAAATTTGAATACCTCTGTTGATGAATGGTATTGGGTATAATTTCATATCCCTGTATTAGTGTACCATGCTTAATAGCCAGGAATGGGCTTTAAGGTGACTTTCATCTTCAGTATTAAGTGTGAAGATCTGAGTATTGCTGAATGCTGTACTGGCAGAGCATTGGTCTGCAGAGCAGTTTTTCCCTTGTGCTTATCTCTGCAACATGACAACTGCCATAGCTATTTAAAAGTAAACAAAAAAGAATCCTTATCACTCTAGCATTTGATGCTAGTGAATTGTGACTACATCCAGTCAAGAGGCTAGCTACTTTTAGTTTTTATTTCATAAACTGATTTATAATATACAGCTGGCTGAAATCTCAGAGAAAAAACATTGATGGGATTATATCACAATTTCTCTCCTTATCCCTTTTCTAAACAGCTGTTAGTTGAAATGTCTATGAATTTTGAGATGCGGCAAAAATTTTGACAGTGTTTCAAAATTAGAAACCTGTTGTCAAAATTGACATTTTGAATGAAATATTTTTCAAATGTGGATGAAAAAAACAGGGAGAAAAGAAAAAAATAAAGCTCTCATTTTTCCTTCCTGTTTTCCAACCAGCTCAGCTTTTTGAAAGGCAAAGACTGTGTTGAAGGCAACCAGATAGCTAATAACATATTAAACACAATATTTCCTTCATAGGTTATTTTTAACAAAAAGCTACATCCAAACTAATTTGATATGGATGCATTTTGGCATGGGTGGGCGGGTTAATTGTGTTGTAACCAGTTAGCACTGGAACTGTTTTTCAGAGTTCAGGTACAGGTCTGACGTTCATACCCTTGAAGAAATTTAATATTTTTTTAAACAACCCACTTTTAGAGACCGAAGTCAACACAGCATTACATTAAGAGACATTTAAAGGGTCCAAATGTCATTAAATAATTTAAAGAAATATTTTATAAGTTATATGATGATTTATGTTAGCAAATAACTTCAAATTTCACACATTTATAACTTAAAACAAAAAACAAAAAACAAACACAGCCAAACACAAGTACTACCTATACCATTCTGGCTCGAGATTCATATATTGCCATTTTTATTTTTTGCATAAGTAATAAGATTTTGCTTTAATTTTGGAGGGTTGAGGGGATTTTGGTTAATGGGACAAAGGCAAAAATAATTATAGAAAAAGAAAGAGGAAACCCCAAGACTGTCTATTCAGATTGGTACCTTGAAGACTCATTCTTTTTAAGTACCCCCCTCCCCCCGAAAAAAGCCATGAACTGAAAAGTTCAAACTTTTATGTGCAATAAGGCTTGGATAGAAATTTTGAACAGCTACCATGATCTGAACGTACTATTGCAAAATGGAAGCAATTTGGTCTGTGCTGTCCGTTTCATGTGCACCAATACAAGCCAGTTGAATTGCACTATGTGAGTGAACAGGGTCCCCATACATTGTATGATTGCAACTGTATCTGGAGTTCAAGGTTTTTAAAAAATAAAATGGAGCACAACCTTTGTCTTGCTTCACCATGTTTTTCCTGATAACGGGGGGAGTCCGTTTTCTCCTTATTGGCAAACGAACTCACTATTTATTAAAACAGTCTAGACAAAAAAATGGATTTTTTTGTTTGTAAAAAATATATTTTAAATATAAAACAAGGTGTAAAATATTTCCAAGAAAAATATGTGATTTGATCCACATAATCTGAAACATGGATTGTGCTTGGTTGGTCACTCTTGTGTTATTTAGGGCTATTACCATCTCATCTAAGCAGTTGCACATAACAGAAAATCTATTTTAAGAACAGGCACTTTGTAGTTTGTCGACCATTTGTTTTTGGCTCACGGAGATTGGGCTACACGGAGGAAATTTCAATATGGCCTCCACACGGACTCATCCATTCTGCCACTAGAATTCAAAACAGTTGGGGAGCTGCTGTGGCTTCCATCAGCCTCCACCCCATCATTCTGGTTAGGCAAGTTAGGATTTAATAGTGTGCTTCCGTTTGATGTGGTGGTGCAGGGAGGAAGCATTCTGGAAGGCGAGCGGTCTCCTCCCGGCACCATGGGGAACTGGTATGATCCTGATGAAGTGCCATAGTAGAGATAGGGAGTGCTGCTGGTCTGGAATGGTCCACTTTGGTTTTGGGAAGAGCCTGGGTAGGGTGGTGGTAAGTAGGTGTGGTAGTGAGTGGTTGCTGACATACCCAGTGACATGCCTGAGGTGACGGGCGGTGTATAGGTAAAGGTAGCTGGATAGTGCATTCGTGGGTTGGAGAAGCGGCTTTCAGTGAGGGATGAAATGCTCGTGAACTGCCTGGGATCTGAAAATGGCCCCAACTCCGAAGCACCTAAAAATTATAACAAAAAACGGGGGGAAATTCTGTAAATATAATTTTTTATAATAAAGTGATTTTAAAAAGAAAAGAAAACCCACTTACTTTGGTCCCCAAAAGAACAGCACATCATATCAAATAATACATTGCAAGGAACAAAATCATAGGCCTGTCTTGTACAAATGCTGGACCAAAAGCATTCCTAGGGTAACTCCACTGATGAGAATGGTGTCAGTGGTATTGACAATGGCAAGTACTGAAAAAACACTTTCTCAGACCTCTCCCCCGAGACTTTAAAAAATAATAAATGCTGAGTTATATTGTATTTGCCTTCTGGTTTCTGAGCATAGAGGGTGCACTTGGGTCACCTTTTCAGGCTTTCCTCTGCAACCGGGAGGGCTAGAAACCTTTTGTTTTAAAAGACAGCTAAGTCTCCTGTGAGCACTTGCCTTCAGAAGCTGGGGTTTTAAGAAAAAACAAGTAACTATCCCTAGACTTACAATAAAATCACAAGGGTTGGCCACACTGAGTTAATCATGCCATTACCATCAACAAGAGTTAAACCAGGGATAACTATGCCCCTACTCCACTTATCACACAATATATCTCCAGTGGACAGGGTTTTCATCTCTGAAAAAGGCTATTGGTTGGATTTCAAGAGCTTTAAAACAAGGTGAGCCACCAACCTGCTAGGAAGTCCGAGTGTTTTAATTTTCTGCACAGTGCATGTTAAGTTGAAAGCCCTAAACTCCTTATTCACAGAAGCTGCCTGCCTATAGCGTTTCTTCCATCTGGATGTCTATAAGACCCCACAGCATGTGCTTACTCCAATGCTCTCGATGGTAACAGTCTACAATACATTTGTCTCTGAAGGTGAGCCACCAACCTGCTAGGAAGTCCGAGTGTTTTAATTTTCTGCACAGTGCATGTTAAGTTGAAAGCCCTAAACTCCTTATTCACAGAAGCTGCCTGCCTATAGCGTTTCTTCCATCTGGATGTCTATAAGACCCCACAGCATGTGCTTACTCCAATGCTCTCGATGGTAACAGTCTACAATACATTTGTCTCTGA